GCCCCATCCCTGGAGATATTCAAGGAGAGGCTCGATGAAGCCCTGGGCAACCTGGTCTAGTTGGGGGTGTCCCTGCTGACTGCGGGGAGGTCGGACTAGATGGCCTTTGGAGGTCCCTTCCGGCCTGGACAATTCTATGATTCTATGAAAAGGTGCTTTTCTTCTTCCTCGTTCTTTTCCAGACACTGACCAAAGAAGGGTTTGACTCCATCTCAAGCAGCTCCAAACAGCTTCTCACCTTAGCCCTGCAGGAACTTGAAGTCAAATCCAGCAACTCTACCCTGAGCAAGCACATCCAGTTTGAACACAACGTGGCCCTGTTCCTGTGGTCGGAGAGCTCCGGTGACCTGCCTTCCGACGCCGCCTGGGTCAGCGTGGCAAACCGCGGCCCCTTCGCCAAGAGCGGGCTGTCCATGAAGGCCCAGGCCCTGACACCGTGCGTGCAGAGCTTCTGCTCGGCTCTGGACTCCAAGCTGAAGGCCAGGTTGGATGATCTCCTCTGCTACCTCCCCACGGACTCCTCCACCACCACCACCACCACCAAGGAGGCCTCACCCACGGTGAAGCCCCGCTCTGCCTTCGACCGTTACGCCGACGCCGGCACGGTGGAGGGGCTGCTCCGTGATCACTGCATCTCCTGCATCCACCACGTACTGGGCTGCGTGAGGGAAGAGCTCCAGAGCACCCAGAGCCTGCTGGAGGGACAGATGGACGCTCCCAGCGATGCCAGGCTCAACGCCGTGCTCTTCATGGCGAGGCTTTGCCAGTCCTTGACCGAACTTTGCCCTCACCTCAAGCAGTGTATCCTGGGCCAGTCGGGCAGCACGGAGACGGCGCTGAAGGAAACGCGCTCCACCAAGAAATTGGGGAAGGGGAAAGCCCAGGGAGTGACCCCCGTGCAGGCCCAGTGGCAGGGGGTGAAGGCAGAGCTCCTGCAGCAGAGCCTCTTTGCTTACCAGATCTGGAGCTCAGCTGTCACCAAAGTAAGGAGCTGTTTCTCTCCTCACAGCTGTTTCCTACTTGAGGTTTTTGTTTGCTCAGCTCCCTGCGGTCACGGGCAGTGCTGCTGCTCCTCAGCCAGGTGCTGAGAGCTCATCACACTGCTGAGTCTGCCTGCAGGGAGTAGAGCTGGTGGCAGCTTGGAGCTGGTGGCACCTCCAAGGTGGCATCCAGTGCAATGGTCTCCAAAAGAGTCACTTGGGGAGAAACGGTGGGGTGTGGGAGGCCGGTCTTATTCTTTGGTGTTCTCCTTAGAGCTGTCTGTGACTTGGGTGTGTTTGTTTTGTGCTCCAGGGTCTGGTTCAATGCTTTACCCGCACGTTGCTGCTCGACACGGCTGGCTCTGTCTTGGCCACAGCCACCAACTGGGATGAAATTGAAATTCAGGAGGAGACAGAGTCTGGGAATAGCATAACGTCAAAGATCCGGCTGCCTGTGCAGGTAGGAGAAACCTCCTCTCCATAAACACAGAGAAACGGGGTCTCTTGGGAGGAGGAAAGCTCTGATTTCCAACCCCACTGCTTTGGTGCTGACCTGCTGTGGAGGTTGCTTGGTGATACAAGCAGAGGGCAAACACTCTCCGGTGCTCTTATTTGCCCTTTGAGATACTCAACTCCCAAGGACAGAGGTCAGAGGAAGGAAATTAGGTAGTTGCTGCTGTACATTCAAATAAATAAGATTGGCCCAGATTCTGTAAAACTATGTCAAAGGAGGACTCGCACCTGGTTTATACCCAAAGGGCCCCAGGAGAGAGGTTTCATGGAATCTGGGTGTGCTGAAGGACAGGGCTGCAACAGCTGGAGTGTGCAAAGCCTGGGAGAAGCCTGGTGTGCAGCTCTCCAGAGGTGTGGTGGGGCAGGAATGACACTCAAGGTGACAACGCAGGTGGTGATTGCGTGGATGGAGAGGGGGACCAGGGAAAGAGCAAGTTCTGTGTTTGCTCAGTACGGGAGGGGCTGGACAAGGCAATAGTCTTCTCTAGTGAACCTTCCAAGGGGAATTCTGTTGACTCTGAAGGCAAAAGCAGCTGGATAAGAGCTCAGGATGGCTGGGAGGCCCAGGAGAAGAGCGAGGGAGTCAATAACAAACAGAGCAAGGTCAGTGGTGACAGAAGAGGCACAAGTAATTCTGACTACACTCAGGTGGACGCCTCTGGAGGACTGTTAAAATCAGAAGTCTGACGTGTCAGTAGATAAAAATCTGTTTGAGCCAAGCTGTGGGGGCAGAGCTTTGTGGTTGGTGAGGAAGTAGGAAGCTCGTATCATGAGCTCCGAGGCAACGTTGTGCTGCTGATAAAGCCACTGTAGCTGCCAGATCATGGGGAAAATAACACTGTTGTCTTCAACAGCCATCCTGGTACGTCCAGTGCCTCCTCTTCAGCCTGTGCCAAGAGGTGAACCGGGTTGGTGGTCACACTCTTCCCAAAGTCACCTTGCAGGAGCTGCTGAGGACCTGCATGGCAGAAGTGCTGGCTGCCTACGAAAAGCTCATGGAGGAGAAACAGGAGAAGGTACGTGCTTGGATCAGAACAAGGTCACTGGGTGATGCACAGGCTCCCATCCCTCAGAACAGAAAATATCTGCCTGGGAAAGCCGGAAAGGATGGGTATATTCTTCCCCTGCCTCCCCAAAAATGAGGCAAGAAGGGATCGGACAGGAGATTGTGTGCCCAGAACACTTTGGTTGGGTTGGTTGTTCCTTGGTGCTGGTGTTTTGAAACATTTCCCCTGCCGCAGTGCGTTGCCAGCCCTCTCAGTGAGAGCGAAGAGCCCCCTTCCTGACTGTCCCTATTTGCAGAAACCAGGTGGCTTCCCCCTGACCCAGAACCGAGCTCTGCAGCTGCTCTATGACCTGCGGTACCTCAGTATCATCCTGACAGCCAAGAGTGAGGAAGGAAAAACCAGCCGGATCAAGCAGGACTCCGGGTGCGGTGCAGTTCTGCGGTTCGGGTACCACCAGTTACTTTGTGGGGCCCTAAAATGGTTTAAAGCAGCTGCCAGGAGGATGCCTGTGGGAGCAGCAGCTTCAGGCCTCACAGGAGAAAGGGCAGTGCAGCCTCTGAGCTCTGACATCTTCACCGACACTAAGCTCAGCCTCAAAATATAGGAGGAAGGGATTCTGTGGCTGAAAGCTCGGAGGCAGTGGGTTGGTCCCCCCCCTGCTTGCGTACGCAGCGTCTGTATGGTGGCAGGGACAGTCAGAGGGTGCCACTGGAGGGAATAGTTAAGCTTCCACCCGAGTTAAACCCTTTGTATGCTCCTGTCTTGAGAGCTGAGGCATCTCTCTGAGGCTTGCTATGGGGAGAAGGTTCCTCCACACCAGCAGATGGTGGAGCTGTGAAATCGCTGGAAACCCTTTAGGCAGCTGCTGTTCCGCTGAGTAATTCCTGTTGTGCTCAGTCACCTCTTGGGTTTCAGAGGGACCAGTGGCACCGTGGCTGGGCTCTCACCCCTGACAGGACCCCTCTGCTCTGCTTGCAGGGTTGAGAAGGTGACAGACTTCCTGGAGGGACACATAGACCCTTTTGACTTGGACGTTTTCACTCCGCACTTGAACAGCAACCTGAACCGCCTGGTCCAGCGAACCTCCGTAAGTTCCAGGAAAAGGAAGGGATGGCTCAGGAAGCCAGGGCTGTAAAACACCTTCTGGAGGGCAGCTGGGGTGGCTTTAGAACCTGCTTAATGCCTAAAGATAATTGCTGGCACTCAGGCAGAAATGGGGAGAGTATTTCGTGCCAGCTGAAGATAAGAGGAGTGTGCTGAGCCGGCTGCACGGCACGTAATCGTGTGTGGAGTTGGCTGAATTTTATCTAATAGGATTCACCACAGCCTGTAGGACACTAATTGGGTTAAGCAGCGCTGAAACAGGGCTAGAACTCAACTATCACAGAATCACAGAACGATATGGGGTTGGAAGGGACCTCTGGAGATCATCTCCTCCAACCCCCTGCCAGAGCAGGGCCACCCAGAGCAGGTCCCACAGGAACGTGTCCAGGGGGGTTTGAATGTCTCCAGAGAAGGAGACTCCACCACCTCCCTGGGCAGCCTCTGCCAGGGCTCTGCCACCCTCACAGTGAAGAAGTTCCTCCTCATGTTTAGGTGGAACTTCTTACATTCAAGTTTGTGCCCATTTCCTCTTGTCCTGTCCCTGGGCACCACTGAGAAAAGACCAGCCCCATCCTCCTGACACCCACCCTTGAAGTATTTACAGGTGTTGATCAGATCCCCCCTCAGCCTTCTCTTCTCCAGACTAAAAAGACCCAAGTCCCTCAGCCTTTCCTCATAGGAGAGATGCTCCAGACCCCTCATCATGTTTGTAGCCCTCTGCTGTCCCCTCTCCAGCAGTTCCCTGTCTTTCTGGAACTGGGGAGCCCAGAACTGGTCCCAGTGCTCCAGCTGGGGCCTCCCCAGGGCAGAGCAGAGGGGCAGGATGACCTCCCTCCACCTGCTGCTCACACTCTTCCTGATGCCCCAGGAAGGGGGAGAGGTGGGGGGGAGAAATCCTTTGTGTTCCAACTCAAACCCAATCCAAAGTGGCGTGCCAGCAGACTCACCAGCAGCGTGTGGTGTGGCCAGCTCTGCAGCTGCTCCTGAACACACACAGCTCCCTCCTGCCTTCCAGGTCCTCTTTGGCTTGTTGACGGGGACAGAGAACCAGTACAGCAGCAGGAGCGGCGCCCTCAGCTCCCAGGAGCTCCACAACATCCTGCCCTTAGCGTCCAGCCAGATCAGGTGAGGTTCTGGGCTCTTCTGCACCTTCTTCTGTCTCTCAGGAAAAGCGGGTCCAGAACTGCTGCTTCCCCCATGACATTTCTTTCTTCCATCTCTTAAGATTTGGGCTCCTGCCGCTGAGTATGTCGAGCTCGCGAAAGAGCAAGTCTGCAGCCAGGAGCGCAGAAAGAGTTCAGGTTGGTAAAATTCAGCAATATTAACTTTTTGCCAAGGGGGTTATTCTCCCACCAGCACTAGAGCTTGTCAGGAAAGGAAGAAAATAGCCAAACAGTTAATATTTTAACCTGATTTTTTGTTTATTTTCGGTAAAATGAGAGAACCATTACGGCAACACAGCATGAGATGGTTTGGATTTCCCCTTCACCCTCAAAAAAAACCCCCCGATGACCCCTGTATTTTTGGGGGCCGCTGCTCTGTAGTAAAACACAGGCAATAACCACCGTGAAAATGCAGTGAAGACTCGTACAGATGAGGTGGTTTAAGATCAATGCAAAGACAATTCATTTAAAGACGGCTGCAAGACAGGCTGAAGGATACTGGCTAATTCTTTGAACTCCTTTCCAGTGTGATGCTGACTTCTAACTCCCAAGGAAGCCTGACTTTTGGGTATTTAAGCCTGTGTGAGCAGAGTGGCTTTGCTTCTCTCGCAATGGCTCTGTGGTGTCCTGTTTCTGAGATTTCTCAGTAGATAAATTTATCAGTAGACACGTTTCCCTCTAGTTTAAAACATCTGCTTAAATGGAGCTGTCTGTGCTGAGGATTGAGAGGGCCAAGGAATACCTCGCTGCTCCAGGAAGCAGTAATTAGTAATCTGTTTCCTTTAGCTATTATTAACCCAATAATCCATTCGTGGTGACATCTTTTCAACTGGGACAGAAGAGTAAAGGTCTGGTATTAGCAGAGCAGAGAGCATTACCTGAGATGCTGACGTTCATTCACTCTGCGACTCCTGTTCTCCGTTATTTGGAAGGACTAAGGACCAGACACAGCTGAAGGGCTGTTTAAAAGCCCAAAGCTTCCCAAGAAAGGTGTTCTTTTACCTCTCACACCTCAGCTGTAGTCCAGTGTGTAAGTGTGCAGTGATGTCTGGCTCACTCCCCTGGCCTGCTGTGGTTGGCACACGGATCTTCTGCGCTAGCCACACTTCTCAGCATCCCCAGCAGATGCTCCCTGCTTCTTTTTATGCTAAAACAGTCCAGAAGAGGTTAAAATCCATAGTTACTCAAGAACAGTTCTCTGCAGGGGCCACAGCTGTACTTCTACCACACTGTTACCCCTTGCTCTGAGAGCAACAGCCCCTTCCCTGCAGTTCTGAATGGTTTTTTATTTTGGGGGGGCATTAAATGGTGTGAAAAGTTACCTGTTGCTAACAAGAGCAAGGCGCTGTGCTTCTGCCACTCGGAACTGCCTCTGTCTGTCACTAACCACCGGGAGTGACACCGCTCCTGGTGTGGTTCCAGCTTGAGCTGCCTGGGGAGAGCTGTCCTGCTGTAGTCTACACCCTGCAGCTCCTCTAGATGAGGGTACGAAGTACATCAAAGGTAGGCTGTAATAGTTACCACACTTTTCTTTTTAAAAACTAACAGGTTCCACCTCCTGCACTCCCAAGAGCGGAGGACGAGGCGTCGCGCCCTGGAGCTCTCTTCAGGCAGCTCGTCACCGAGGAGGAGGACACGGCTGCACCGTCTCTCTTCAAGCTGGGCTGGCTTTCTGGCATGGCCAAGTGATGAGACACAAAATAAACAGTTGGTCTGTGTGTTCCTCTTCACTGAGATCGCCTTTTCCCCCGGAGCAGGGACTGGTGACCCCTGGTTTTGGCAGAAGAGAAGTCCTTTTTCCGTCCTTAAGCCAGGTCACAGTGTGTCACTTGAACCAGGCACAGCTCAGGACTGTCCTTGCCCTCTGGCTGCTGGAACAGAGGTGTAGCTACTCTCTCACCTCCTGTTCCTCACAAGCTGTTAAAGTCAAATCAAAGAAAAAACAAACAAACAAACATACACACTGTAACAGAAAACAAAACATTTCACAGCTGGAAATGGGTATCAGAGCAACAAAAACTCCTCTCTCTCTCTCTCTGAAGCCCCTCCCCAGGCTGCTCCGTGCTTTTCTCCACAGGCACCATGACTCTGCTCCCTGGGAATACAGGGGCACCCGCAGCTCAGCTCTCCTGGCTCTAATTTCACATTTTTTTTTCAGTACTGCACTAAAGATGAACCAAGATAAGGCTCATCCTGCACCGAGCTGGGTGGAGAGTTTGCAGCTTGGAGCATTCCTAAGGGATTCCAGAGATGGCACCTATTCTTTCTTACTAACTCTAAATGCTCAAAAAAATTATGTTGCCAAATAATCTTTTTACTAGTTTATTGAAATTAAAAAAAAAAAAAAAAGACTTATAAAACTGAAGGTGAACGTTTGAGAGAACTTTACAGAAAGCAACAAATTGCTAACAGACAGATTAGGCAGTCGATTGGAATTGGACATTTTGCGATCCTATAACACAGATGTGGGTTCTTCCATCTCCTCTTGACACGTACTTTATAACCACCCCAAAAAAAACCCCCCAAATCCTATAAAAATTGCTTCAAAGCCCCTTTGCATTGCAATAGTGCAGCAAACCACAAGTAAACAATTTCCTGTTAACCTGTTATTTCAAATATAGACTGAAAAGGCAACAGGCGTTTTTTTGTGCAATTCCATTTTAACAAACTTTGAAGTTGAAATATCAAATCTCCACAGTGCTGTCCCTTCACAGAAGGCAGGGAACCCCTGGGGCATCATGTGGGAAGGCGTCCCCGGCTCTGTAGGCTGTGAAAGTGTGCCTCCTTCAGGATCTGGTTGATGTGGAAGTAAGGACCTTGGCTTAGTGCAGACTGCTCGTGGAAGGACTGGGAGACAGGACTGGATCCTGCAATTCCGGGGTTGAGGCTGGTTTCTGCACTGCAGGCTCTGTCGGGGCTGTTGATGCTACTGCTACTACAGCTGCTGCTGCTGCTGCTGCTGCCGCTATCGCTGCTGGAGGACTGAGACAAAGAGAAGGTTAACAGCAAAACATTTTCTCCCATCCATCATGAAAAACCTCAGTTAAGCAAATCATCTTTACAGTTAAGTCCCTCCCAGATTTTCAGCCCGACGGACTAATAATGGAAATCCACCAAGTGCTTTCTTGGCGTCCGGAGCTTCCGTTATTGCCAACACGGGAAGAAGCTGAAGCTGAGCAAACCTTCACCCAGAGGTTCGCTGACCCCCGGGGATGTTTGGTTTCAACCGGTCACTTTTTAGGCCCGCCAGCTCTGCCCCCATGACCCACGTTAGCACTAGTGAAATTTGCTCAACTCATCCGAGAATTGGAAAATAAAGACCGTTCCTACTGAGGTGCAGGTGTCAGTCAAGGCAGGCAGGGCAGGAGGAAAAGTTTCTGGCTTCTCTTCCAGCAGAGGTTTTAGGGAAGCACCATGCAAAGCACTTTCCTACAGGTTAATCTTTTGGAAAAATGAGATCTGAAGCATCCAAAGCAACAGGCTGTTAAAAAACAGATGCGACACGAAACCCGTTTTAAGTCTTTGAACACCTTGACCTACACACAATTGCTCTTCTCCCAGTCCAGTACTGGGACTGCAATGGTATAACTGGCAGTCTTCCCTAACAATTTATTTGGAAGGACAGCGAAAGAGCGAGAGGCATCGAAAACTTCCCCACGCAGAAAAGAGAGCTCAGGATTTAGCTCACACAGAGGATGGGGCTCGTTTGCCAGCATTTAGGATATAAAGACATTTTATAGTAATGACTGGGAGAGCATTAACCATCATTTTCGGTGTTTCAAAGACATAAAACTGTTTGGTTTACGCCATTTTAAGGGCTGCTAATGAAAGGTTCCATTAGTAGTTACAGCTGAAATATTTCCTTACTGTGTGATACGCTGTTCAGGACAACACTGCAAATATTTAGGTGCTTAAGAATCAAGAGAAGGGCTACTTTGCCATCCCATAGGAAGTAAATTCACAGCAGCAGCCAGCGTAAGTGATGACAGAGAAAAAAATGTGGAGTTTTTTTTACAAGTATTAAACTAAAACCACGGAAATCAAAGCTTGGTGGTCACAGCAGAGGAAGACAAATTTAAATTACCAGGGACTTCTTTAACAGCCAGGACCACATCCAGAAGGGCTGGTTTGGGAGTAAATCTGCAAAATGATGCAAACTGCACCCGATGGCTGTCAATGAGGTGAGAAAAGGCCCAGGAAGGCACCGTATGAGCACTGGAAAGGGACCACATCTCAATGGGAGATTGGGACCACATCTCAGTGCCCGACTGGAAACCCCACGGCACCGATTCCGCCATCCATCGGGGCAATTCAAGCGTAGAAATGGCCTTGTTTTACCAAGCACCAAAAAAATGCTTCAGTTCTGGTGTAGTGCAGCAAGCAAGGCATCAGCACCGGGGCTGCGCCCGTGTTAGGCTCAGCTAAGCAAGGGGAAAAACCAACCAAACACACACGAAATCATTCCTGAGGAAGCAGCAGAGGTAACTAAATAAGCAACTGGCTCCTCTTCCTACGGCCGCCAAGGGGAGGGAGGGAGAGAAGGGCAGAAGGACAGAGAGGAGCCCCCACCATGATGCTGGTTACACCATCCCCTTTTGCATTAGAAGCACAAATATGGAAATGCTGAACAAGTGACAGCAGCCTTGGAGAGAAACCCACCGCACAGGACACTTTGTTGCCTTTTAGTCTCTGTTCCTTACTGTTTTTCGTTACAGCCACCTTCTGAAAATCAAGGTAAAAATCAAATTAAAACCAGGCAACTGGCTCCTCTTCCTACAGCCGCCGAGGGGAGGGAGGGAGAGAAGGGCAGAAGGACAGAGAGGAGCCCCCACCATGATGCTGGTTACACCATCCCCTTTTGCATTAGAAGCACAAATATGGAAATGCTGAACAAGTGACAGCAGCCTTGGAGAGAAACCCACCGCACAGGACACTTTGTTGCCTTTTAGTCTCTGTTCCTTACTGTTTTTCGTTACAGCCACCTTCTGAAAATCAAGGTAAAAATCAAATTAAAACCCAGTATCGCTTACTGCTACAGTTTCACATCTTAACAAACATTTTAGAGCTGTTAGTAATGATTATTTTATGCATGTCTAATTTTATTTAGAACAGAAAGAGTGTCCTGGGACGTGCTTCCTACATCTAAGGCTGTTGACAGATCTAGTTTTGTCATACCCTCTTTATTTCCATTTCTCTAAAGCAAAAATTCACTAGCACGTGAAGCCCGTTTATTGCCCAAATCACGTCAAAGACCTACCATTTCCCCAGGCTGTGGTGCACATTCTGTTACGCATTTGGACTACAATTAGACAAAAAAAGAATCCTTAAAGTCATCATGTCAGCAATGACAGGCATCTACACAATGAAACAAAAGTTTTAAGCGAAAGGGCAAAGGAAAATAGCCCGATTAAAAGTTTCTGAGTACTTTTAAGTATCAAAAGGACATCCCTCAGGGTTTACCTGCCTCATTGGCCCCTCTTAATATCACACCCAGTAGCTAGAGAAGTTTTAAATAATTTCCAAACAACTCTCCTGTTCAATGTACTTGGCTGCTGATCTGTGACGCAGCAACTCGCTCGCTCACAACAGGAACTTAAGACACAGCCGTTCAGCCCCTGCTGCTCTCAAAAATCTTTCAAGTAGCAACTCACTCACAACAGGAACTTAAGACACAGCCATCCAGCCCCTGCTGCTCTCAAAAATCTTTCAAGATGAGTTTAACACAGGCATAATCCGGTTCTAATTAGAATTTCAGACCAGCCCTTCCTCACTAGAGCAACGCTGTAGAGGGGCACAGCTGCAACACCAGACAAGAACTGTGATTCCAGAGAAGCAACTGCTGCTGTGCGTCAGCGACCTCCGATAAAACAGCAGCTTTTCTAAGCTCTGGGGAACCCTGTCATCGGTCAGAATAACAAAGAGGAACCCCAAGAAACGAGGTTTGACAGAAGAAAGTTCTTCAGGAAGGAAAAGAGCTAGCCAGAACACTGCAGACTCCCTTCCTTCCCAGGGAAAAGCAGAGCAAAGGGCTTCTCTCCTTGGTGATTCCACAGGTTGCAGAGTACAATTATACATTTTCCTCATTCCTGAAAGTGGGTGCCTCTCGGAGGATCCACCCCAGCTCTGCCTGACTGCAGGTACAGGACAGCAGAGAGAGGAGAGCAGGAAGGGCTTCCTCTGAATCTAGAAGTGAATACCAGGGAAAACACCACGCTCCACCTCAACAAATGAAGGAGAGGCTGAAGAGGAAGTGAAATGCGGTGCCCAATGCTCCGTTTCGCTAATGTTTAACGCTGCCTGTAGTTAAAGTCCAGCGTTTTCAGGGTGTTCACGGACTGAACTGCAAAGCAGAGGTTTACTGTCACCCCCGGGGTGGCTGTCACCCAGCAGCGTGGCAACAATTTGCTCCAGGAGGAGCAGGAGCTGCACATCGTTACAGCGTCTTTGCCAAAAAGCAGCGCTGAGGGAGACTCCCTTCGATCTCAGTTTCCCTCCTGTAAAAAGCCTGAGCCAAGGATGGTGTGGATGAAAGGGCAGGCTAGTGGGAGAAAAAGCAATATCCTGCCACTAAGACAAAAATCTCTCTTTGTCTTACACATGTGAAGGGTAAGACAACTAAAAAAAAAAAGAGAGAAAAAGACCAAAAAGAAAAAAAAAAAGAAAGAGAACCTGACAAAAAAGCCAAGCCCAGTTTTAATAATACTGATTTTTCCAGACTGAGGTTGTGGCAAAAGCCAAGCCCAGTTTTGGTAATACTGATTTTTCCAGACTGAGGTTGTGGTCTCAAGCAACCCACACTCTCCAAGAGAAAACAGTCAACTTTCAACTGAAGGAAGGCGAAAAGGATCAGTATTTTAGATAATGTTTCTAAAAAAGCAGGTGTGCCTATGCCCTCGGATGAAAAGTAATTCTCTCCTCGTTTATTCTTTGAAGTTACAAATTGCTCTCTCACACACACACACTTCCTCTCCTAGTTGAACATCCTAAAGCTAGTGAGGATTTGTAAACTACAAGAGTTGCCTTTGCAAATGGCAAAGTATCAGGAAACGAAATAGAAGTATTACAAATGGCCAAGAATTTCCCAGTGACATCAATCGGAAGCACTCGTGCACTATAAGCACAAAAATTTCTCCATTTGGCACAGGAAGTCCTTAAAGAAACAGTCAAATAATACTGATTTAATCTCATGGCTTGAACTTCTGGGCATGCTCCATTCAGTGAGCCAACACGACAAGAAAACAAGCAGAAAAAAAAAAAAAAAAAAGAAAAAGAAAAAGAAAAAAAGCTCTATTCATCAGTAGGCGACATTGTGAATTTTGTTCCCTTGAGAAAGGGAACATTGATTTTTGTAAAACCGTGTCCAGCAGACGCATCCCTCCAGCACCAACAGCGAGGACTTCTCGCCTGCACGTGGGGGTTTAATGTGTTAAAAAACATATTTTTCCAACGCCAAGTGCATGCAGGAAGCAGGAATCTTAGTGTTAGCCTCAGCCACTGAGCCCTGCACTGGTTTGACTGGTGGCGGGGAGGCAGTGCATGCCCATGCTGTCACCTGCAGGCACCCCAACCAAGGACAGGAACACTCACTCCTGTGTGGCTACTACAAAGCTAGTTCCATTTCTGCATTTTAGCGGCTTTGCCCAAACGCCAAGTGTTTATACGACAAGCAAAGGTGCTTCTGCCACTCACCATGAAGGTTTTTCCTGATATTCTTAATTACTCCTACTTCAATCCCTTGTTCCATACTAAATTCTTCCTCCTCCCGCCACAAAGCTCGTTTAGCCATTAACTACTCTACACGCGAAGAGGTGTTTAACCTGTTGGACAAGTGATTCAGTGTCAGATGGCAAACAACTATTCATGGTTCTACCCGTTATACCCGAGAAGCAAAAAACCACTTCATCCCAGCAAGTCATACTTCTGGCACAACAGCAAGACAGGAACCAGCAATATTTTTCATCACAGCAAATTCCTTCGTGATGAACATCTCGGCTGCGAGAGCATTTTCCGTACAAATATCACTGAGATTTTACAAAATCAGCTACATGTAAAGATGTATTTGTTAAAAGAAAAGTCTCCTTCACAAAGAGAAGGGTGGGTTACAAAACTTTGTATCATTTTAAATGTGAGTATATATTTGAAGCTGTCATCATATGATAAAAATGATGTTGCTCAAAGTTACACGGCACAAAACACGTTCTGCAGTCAAAGCAGAGTTAATAGTTCAGTATAACTGCAATAGTTGGTAATTACTCATCACAGCCAATCTTTAAAACGAGGGGGCTTATAAAAAACCAACAAAGATATTTTAAAAACCTTCAAAGAAATCCATTTTATGAACTTCCAGGGACACAAACCAGGAGGGAGCCTCTGCTCTGCACGCTCTTACCCATGGAACTTTGTATCATCTTAAATGTGAGTATATATTTGAAGCCGTCATCATATGATAAAAATGATGTTGCTTAAATTTACACGGCACGAAACACGTTCTGCAGTCAAAGCAGAGTTAATAGTTCAGTATAACTGCAATAGTTGGTAATTACTCATCACAGCCAATCTTTAAAACGAGGGGGCTTATAAAAAACCAACAAAGATATTTTAAAAACCTTCAAAGAAATCCATTTTATGAACTTCCAGGGACACAAACCAGGAGGGAGCCTCTGCTCTGCACGCTCTTACCCATGAACATTTTGCAACAGAACTAATTAGAGATGCACACAGTGAATTTTCAGATGATTAATACAGGCAACAACTCAGGAAATCTGGCAGCAGCTTGGAAATCAGCATTTTTTTTTAAAAAAAGCAATCTCACAGTTTGCAAATTGCACCTGTCATGTGAGCGATGAGAGAATCAGAGACAGTTTATCCCACGTCCAGCAAAAGATCACAGCAAATCTGAGCAGAAACCCAAGAGTTTGAGTTCAAGTGTTTTAGCTGTGAAGGACCAAGTCTTGCTTAAACTGGTGAGCTCTATCACAGCATTTTTTAAACATCAGATAAGCACTGCTGCTTGCAACAGGCACTTTGTGTATCGCACCAATTGGAATGCTTTTTGACTTTCTACCACAAATAATCACATTACTGTAAGTAAACGCAAAGCTGGAAGAGCAGATGGCCAGGCAAAGTGACCACACACATTTGTCACCCCCCCAGGTCATCTCCTCGGCTCTGGGTACGTTACACCTCTTCTCAGACAGCAGAACTAAAAGTGGCAGCAAATGCTTTTCGGGTTTCCTCACATGGGTACTACTTATCAGTATTTGAAACACACTAACAGAAATATTTGGGCCGAAGGTAACCAGGTTCACTGGAAAACATGCTGATTTCCAAACCACATTTCACAGATTTCAATCTCTGAAGTACGTAACAGAGTCAAAGCCTCACAACCTCACACACAAGGCAAAAAAAAAAGGTATGTTCGTTAACTACACTCCATGAATAACATTTCACAGAATATTCCAACTGTTATTTAAATTTGACATTAAAGGAAACGGAATTTGCCCGAGAAGGCTCTCACCTCAGTGTCCCAAGAGTCCTGAAGGACAGTATTCCTGGTACTACGCTTTGTCTGAGGAATGTGACCGTCGTCTTCATTGCCATTCCGTCTCCGCTTCCTGAAGGAAGGTCAGGGAGAGGGGAGAAAAGAAAAATAATTAGCAGTCTACTGATAAACCTCCTGGTTTGCTCTCTAAAGGCAACCCTACAAAAAAAGCTGGAAAACTTGATAAATTAATAAAGGATGTATCTAAACTTCTGATGTGCTGTGACCTCCACATTCAACGAGCCAGGCTGTTTTCACGTCAGTTGAAGGGCTGTGGGCTCACAGTGCCATTAAAACCACGGCACAGCACATTTCTAAATAAACCTATTTGACAATTCCCAGCCTTGCAACTGCTCTCAGTACTCAGGCACATCTAAAAATAAGCCTGGGACTTTGAATGCCATCTGACAGGCTGAGAAAAGCACCCGGGAAGAGTGGCAGTGACCACACTTTCAATAAATACCTGATTACTTTCATCTCGCTTATACAAGTCTGCAGTGAGGGGCTATGATGACTTTCTCGAGTCTCTCCATGCTCTTACTTTGCATTCCATGTCAAGTCATGTTCCTGAGGAACACTATTTTCCACGAGGAAAGTTTTCTCAGAAAGCACCTCACAGAAGACCATTTCAGCCCTGTTTCTGATGTATTTGCCATCCTCTTATGACATCAGCACTGCTTCGCAGCACATCAACAGCAACCTCGAGCCCCTGTGAACCACCGTCTCTCGCTGATACACCTTACAGAAGACCATTCCAGCCCTGTTTCTGATGTATTTGCCATTCTCTTATGACATCAGCACTGCTTCACAGCAGAGCAACAGCAACCTAGAGCCCCTGTGAACCACCGTCTCTCGCTGATTTTTAATTGTCTGCTGATTTTTAATACTAATATCAAATTATTTTTCCCACTGCACTAACACCACAAGACAACCAGGAGTTCTGCAGGTCGAGCACTATCCGAAATATAGGATGGAGCTGTTTTGGTGGCTAAAAATTAAGACGTACTCAAATGAGTCAAAACAGACTGAAGCGAGGTATTTATAACTGAATCTTCTCTTACAGACAAGCTTTAGCAGCACACTCAGCTGCCAGTGCTTGGTCCACGCCTACAGACCAGGAGCTGCCTCCTCGCTCTCCCAACCATTGCCCACCACAGCCCAGCAGGTTCTCCCTCCCCCAGGGCCACTCCTCGAGAAGACACAATCCCCCTCTCGCTCCACATTTGTGTTGCCCCCGTATCCCTCTTTTTCTTAACACCCACAGCCCACAAGAGAACTCAGTGCCTCCACCCCCCACTGCCCAGCTCCTACACGCTTCACGGTCCCTCCTGTTTCTCGACACCCCCTCTCCTTCCCCACCAGGCCGAGGAGTGCCCCTCCAGCACACCTCAATGCCCCCAGATCCTCTGCATTTCCTGCGCCCCTTTGATCTCCTAAACGCCGCCCACCCCTCACCCCCCCCTACACCTTTAACATTCGCCGCCGCCACACTTCCAGCCGATTTTAACCCCTTCCAGAGATCAGGGG